ATAACTGAAACCCTGGATACCAAATCCATGGATATGGGGGTTCTACTGTAATTTCACCTGTTTGCGAATTGTTAAGTACAATGCCTGCACTCTAAAGGAGGGGTTCGGGACATTGGCGGTTTGGAGAGATATGTTGTGTATCTTTATACGTATATGCTTCTAAACTGTTGTATTTTGAGCACCTCTGCAAAAACAGTGATTATGTGTGAGTGAGGTGAAAGTGTTGAATGATGATGAAAGTATTTTCTTTTGGGGGATTTTCTTTCTTTTTGGGTCACCCTGCCTCAGTGGGAGACGGCTGACTTGTTAAAAAAAAATATATATATATAACATATGTTTGAGTGTATGTATGCACGTATATATCTATAAGGAGAAAATAGAACAGAATGTAGTACAGGCACAACACTGATTTTCCAGCACCCTTGATTCCTAAGCTTTGTTGGAATACTGATTTTGCCAGAACAACAGAGGTCATATAATGATAATTCAACAATACACCTCTGACCCACTAATCGTACACCTTCCATGTCTCTAAAGCACCATCACCTGTTGGGAAGTTAAATTAAACATAATTATATAAAGAGGAGGTTTAGTTGCAGTACTACTGCTCCCAAAGTCGTAAATTTTATAATTTTACTAGAATTGTAGAGCTAACCACAAAAGTCTGACTGTTTTAGGTTGTCAGGATTACTGTCTCATCATCGCATTATTATAATCATAACCAAGCGCTAAACCCATAAGGGTCTGTTTCATCATGGTTTTGTGATGTTGCTGGGGAGGACATCTGAGGTACTTAATGTTGAATTATTATTATAATAAAAAAGAAGTGCTAAACCTACAAGGGTCATACAGCACTTAATGTTGAAGTTAGAGGATCTTCAGAAATAGGCCTACTGCCATGACACTCATGCTTCTTGGCTATCTTTTTAAACATTTCATCCAAGCAAAGTTGTTTCATGTACTTTGATGTTTTTATTTGTAATTTTTTATGCATCAAATAAAAATGTATTAGCTCTTGGTCTGCCATGAAGGAACATTATTCTAACCCTTTGATTTATTCACCTGACAACCCAATTAACTTGGCAATAGCTATAGTTATTGGTAAGTTAATACAGCTACTAACCTTGGTGACACCTAGTATCAAATGTTAGCAAAATATACTTAGAATCACAAAAACAAGGGATTACTACAGCTGCAGTATAAATAGTGCAAGTTATTGTGCATTATACACACTGCCATCTGTAGTCACTCTGGTAATTTTGTCTTTACTAAAAGAGGTGCCAGATCATGTGTGTTGTATTTGCATTAAGGTATCATGACAAGAGCCTCAGAATGAGGCTGAAATATATAGTGCTTTTCTTACCATCTGCTTTATTTTCTCTGGGATCATGTGTGCCATCAACCAATATTAATTACAACTGTTTGGATATTCATGCATATTTTGTGTAATTATATAGTGTACACATATTAAATAATTTTAAATTTATAAAATTAAATACTGTATATATTACACATGCACACACACACACACAGGCACACAAATATGTTGCATATGAATTTTTGGTATACTAGGTAATATTATTATACACTACACTTCATGAGAGGGGTTCAGTTTGAAATAAATTTTTGCACAATTTGGTAAGATTAATTGAGTCACCTCCATAGTTGTCAACTAGCTATTGTACAAGTCTGCTAACCACTGTTTTCCTAAACACTCTACCAGTATACTACAATGATTTGTTAACAAGAAACTAGCCACTGAAATAATAGGAATACTGATAAATTTCTCGTGTAAATACGATTTATTCATGTATGTTCAAAGACTGGAGGAGCTCTGTAAAAAAAATTCTTCACAACTATTAATCAAATGCCTAGTTCCAACAATGCCCAATATATTTTTTTACTTAATTACTGGTAGTATGTTTAGGAATTTACAACAGCCATCTGTTGGTTTGAACACATGGTGGAGGCACTGTTGTGACCTCAAATTAAATTTGTTGAACCTCATGTAGGCATCCCAAGAAGCTGTCAGAGGAATTACTTAAAAGAGGACAGTTTGGAGTGTGGTACTAACATAACAGTCACCACCGAACCACACTGTTGCATAACGCAGTCCTGGTTTGTGGTTCATTTGCACAAGGGAAAGAACAGTGGATGTGTGGTCTTGAGCTTGTATATGCTGTAGATATTTGGGACATATCTACAGTTGATTTGTACACCATAACAGGGTAAATGGGACATCAATAGGAACCTCGTCAAATATTAAGGAGTGATAATTTCACTCAAGTCAGATCAGGATTACTGGTAAGACTTACCATGCCTGTAGCATCATAAAAATCCTTTAAACATGGAGATACAAAATTATCATGCCAGGAAAAATCAGTATGAAAAATCATATAATAAACTTAAAGTAGTCATCAACTCTGATCATACTGATGTCCCAGGTTCCTGAACGTTAGACAGCTTCTGGGACGGCAACATCAGCCTTATGTTACACTGTGGAGGGTTCGCTGTGGCTTATCCTCTGCTTCATTGGTCAAGTCACACTTTGCACAACTTCTTGCAGCCTTTTAGAGCTCTGCCAATAAACCATTTAAGTCAATAACATTTATGTATGAAATTCTACAACAAGCCACCATTGTTAAAGGGGGTCTGACCAAACAAATAATTTCACTTCCATGAAGACCATCTACTGAGATTTAGACCTGCTACTTTTTAAGTAGTTTAGAAATTGTGAAAAAAATGCTATTGTAGTTACACCACTAACAACAATGTTGCTATACTGTTACAGTCTGCAGCTGTAGCTGACCTTGAATGATACTTTACAGTTGTTTAATGCTGTTGAGTATGATCCATTCTGTCATGGAAGGGTCTTTTCCCAATAATGGTTTACATGCACATCATATCTTGCTGGACAATAACTACTTCACCTTCTTTCACACGAGAGGGTCCTCTAAAATGTCACCGCACACCAAAATGTGATGATGCCTCTATACAATCTAGCAGTTCTATATTGCCATTCTGAATGTGGCAAAACCAATGCATCAAGCACCAATTAGCCTAATGTGTGAAATTATCAATTATTCTCTTTATAAAGAAATGCAAAAGTAAAAAAAATTAGTTCACTACACATTGCAGCTTTAAGCATAGCACTAAAAATTAAAAAATCTTTTACTGGTATAGTGACAATATTGTAACGTAAGCTTCAAAGAAATTACAGCAATTGATCCCCATGTATTCAGGAACTTTGCAATTATTTTCAAATGAGAGAGCAAACATGCTCCTCCATCCACAATTTATCACAAGTCACAAGGCACTTTGACTTATCACCAGCTTACCACTACAGGGAAAATTAATTAAAATAAATGAGCAAATCTCCATATGAAAGTTATATCCTACTAACACAGTACCCAGGAAGGGAAATATATTTTAGTTGTTGCTGCTACTGTAATGGTGCTTGAAGATTTGTGGTGCCACATTCTAGTTAACTGAATTACCACTCAGTTCAATTAACAAATAACTACCATCCAGTAACTGGAAAAAGCGTTTTAGCATTTCGAATGCTACACAGAACAATCAACTTTGTCATCACATGACTCATTTTGGTAACAGACATTAGTCATTAAAACACATGAATTCTAAAGAATTCTCAGTCTAACACAATTTTCCTTCTGGACAAAAGATGTGGGGTGCCCCCTACCTGCTGCTGCTCAAAAACCCTTAATATCGGGCAGCATTTGGGACCCAACAAACTTCTTTCAATATCACAGACCAACAAGGTGTGCATGTGGTGTAGCTTCTCCTAACATGCCGTCCTTAGTCGCAGCTTGGCTGACCTTACATCACTAGAACTTGCACTCTCTCAAGAGCCAAGGCTCAATTGCTACAATCTCAGCCAAACATTAATCCATTCACATTAAATTCCAAAAGCACAACACATAAAAGTATTTTGTGTAGTGTTCTCCAGATTCAACTATACATTTAAGACACTAATAAAACTCTTGAGCCCCAATTTTAATTGTAGGATGAGTTTAAAATTTGGCTGAAAATGTTGCCCTGTCAATCATGACATACTTTATAAATGAAAGACAAGAAAAGTTTGTTAAACTAAGGAAAGAGGTATGAAAAAGCTGAAGACAAAGACGAGAAGTGTGTGAGATGTGACTCGCGTGCCTCCTCTATGGTCACTGGTGATGCACACAAGAAAGAACAGGTGGAGGGCTAAAAGCTACAGTTTAACGAGCTAGGCTCGTCTACAGTATTCCTAATTTCTATCAATAACACTAGGGACATATCTGTGGTATGGTACAAATAAAATTCAACAGTCACTTATGCCATAAACAAGCTCTGCTTTCACTTTAAAGTTGACTTGGTCAACTTTCACTTGGTGCACAAATGCTCTATGGTATGTACTTACACTATCACGAGCAAGTAGTTTAGAGTCCGGCCAGAGTGTCATAAGCCAGACTGTTACATTAACTAACCAGCCCGTCCTACAACCCACCAAGGTCCCTAAGGACTACCAGTGACTGGTTCTTGACTCACTTTGATAACCCCAAACTCAAACATTTCTATTAATTCTAAATCATTTTCATTTAAATTTTAATTTAGATAGAGCATATCTAAGTATGAAAGTATGAGGTAATCAAGGTGTATTCACCAGGTAAGTGCACACAAAGTAGATGCTAGCACCATCATTTTCCACTGGGGTGGGCATACAGGCCAGGCAACCTCCGCAACATCAGACCACAATGACAATATAGAAGGCTTGAAACCTCCACAGCAAAACAATCCAGTACTGTACATGGTTATACACTTGTGGCTATGTGCACAGCTATTGCCTAACACTGACCATAGCGAGGCAACCTCGGGTCTCCAGATTGACCTTGGTTAAATTCAAGGCCCCATGCCCCTGCCATCACTCTAAAGCCAAGATGGTATAGGAGAGAATATGGGAGAGGGAACAAAGTGGGACTTTGCAGGTAGGCATGAGGTGATTTTGGCAGTCGTGTCGCACTGGGAAGCGGCCAGGTGACGCAGGTGGTGTAGATAGTTTGGTGGTAAGAGGGAGAGCACATCCATGGGGCACTGGATACAACCCATGCCCACACTAACCTACCTTGTACTATGACCTCAAGCCTCCTTGCCCAGTCTATTTCACTGGGAGGAAAAAACATAGGAGCTCCTGATGAATACCAATAATTGTGAAAAGACATTAACATTGATAACAAAAGATACTTAGCAACTGGGCTTGAATTATTAAATGTGGTCAGCACAGCAGACGGTGTGAAGCTCTGTGCAATTTGGGGCAGTGACTAGATCACAAGGATACTCAACGCTGCAGATGTGCCCAATGATCTGCTCACCCTCATATACCACTAATCCACTACATAGTTTTAATCTCTTTAGAGAGTAAGAAATATGACAACAATATCAATACCTAAATTTAAAAAACTAGGTATGTAACACAGTTACTGTCACTGGTTCAGAACCTTTGATTTAACTGCTTTACAAGCAGAAGTGGCACTTTTAGTGCTTACAATATCAACTAATTTATTATAAGAATGTAAATATATATATAAAAATTTATCTTCTTAAATATTTGGGGAAATTTTGGTATTATTCATTAGACATATTTTGTAACTTATGTAGATTTTGTAGATTTTGCATATTTTCTAAATTTTGAAGACTCTGTTGCAAACTATGCACTGGTTTTGCGAATGGGACCCCAAGGTGCGTGGTTATGTGCTTAGACAGGTAATCTGCACGAGCAAATTTCTTTCCACAGACCTTACATGGATATGGTTTCTCACCAGTGTGAATGCGCAGGTGACGATTCATATCAGAGCGGCCACCAAAAGCCTTGCCACAAACACCACAGTTATATGGCTTTTCTCCAGTATGAGTACGAATATGAAGCTTCAGGTTTTCCCGACCCTTAAAACCTTTCTGGCAAAACTGACACTTAAACGGTCGCTCTTCATCCCCTCGAGGATCAGAAGCTGGGGTGAGGGAAGCTTGAGTTAGCAATAAGGCCCCCCGAGAATCAATTTTAAAGAGACTATTGTGGCCAGGAGGAGTGCTGGTCCCAAGGGTTATAGTGGTGGTACTGGCAGTGGCAGTGCTAACTGCCACAGATGAGGACGGAGGAAGGCCACCTATAGGAGTGGTAGTGGCAGGAGGTGATGGCATAGCCATAGGAGTCGAGGCTGGAAGAGGAGAGCGAGGCGGTCCCGAGACACTACTTGGGGACAACCGGGGTGAGGCCTGAGGAGATGATGCAATGCTGGGTGGGCAAGACAACCCAGGCCCATCATTTACATTCACTTCTCGTAAAGTATCTAGCGAGCAGTCTGTTGACCTTCGGCAGTGGCCTTCAAAACTGGCTACATCACGGAATGTCAACTTGCACTTAACACAATACACAAATTTACCCTTATTTTCTTCTTCATATTCCCCTTCCTCCTCCTCACCATCTACCTCCTCCTCCTCCTCCTCCTCCCCATCTTCATACTTTCTTACACCATTTTCTGGTTTAACTGCTTGAAGAAGGGCAGCATTAAATGTGATGGGATTTGATGTGGACGGCTGCTCAGCTCCTTGCTGTGACTCTATGCCTTCTTCTTTTAGAGTCACAGAAGCTTCAGATTCACTCTTTGAAGATTCATTTATCAAAAGTCTTTGGAGATAAGATTCATGAATGCCTCGGGTTGTTAGTCGTCCTTCATCCGATTCTGCTTTCATTATTCGATCTAGGACATCGTGATTGGAGCGATGTTTAGTAAAGCTCTTATGATACTTAAAGCATTGACCACACACACCACAACGAAACGGTTTATCTCCAGGAAGCTTAGCGGTATGATTTTGTTCCTGGTGCCGCTGAAATGCAGACTGGTACTTGTAGCGCTGTCCACACTGGTCACACTTGAATGGTTTCTCTTCCTCATGGATACGCACATGTTCTTCTAGATGATGGGATGAAGGTAATATCATGGCACAGATGTGACACGTAATGCCACTCCCAACATTTTTGTCCCTAGCTACACTTAATGATACTGTAGATTTTGTTGCTGACCCAGATGCTCCAGACAGTCCTAGCCCTAGACTAGAGGTTACTCCAACATTAGAGGAACTTCCAAGTGTCAAAGGTAAATGAGTACCAGGAGGTAAAGCTTGCATTACCTCTAAAATCTTCATAATGTCTTTGGGAGGAGATACTCCAGAGTGTTGTTGAGGCTGCTGCTGCTGTTGCTCAAGGAGACCTGAAGGAAAGTAATGATGAAGAGGATGATATCCTAAAGCTAATGCTTGGTGAAGGAGTGCTACTTGTGGAGGGAGGGAACCACCAGGGGCAAGTGAGCCCCCAAGACCTGCAGAAGTAATGGAGGTGTTCCCAAGTCCACTCCCTGCCAGAGAGGGTGAAGGTACAGATGATGGAGGACCCGTCGATCCCATACCAACCTCTCCTTCCTCCAGGATTACTTCTGGTGATTGGATAGTCTGAAAATATTAAATAAATACTTGTACAAATGAGTATATATGTGCACATATATGCAGTAGACCCTTATATAACATGGATTTATTTAGCATGCTTTGGTTATTACACTACTGATAAATTGCGGCATTTTGTACAACACTTGGTAAAATTAACATGGTTCGGTTTGCGGTAGGGAAAAAAATTTGCAGCATCGCCCATGAGATATTTCCCTAGCTCAGACCACTGCCTTGATGTGGGTGAGACCATGTCTCCATGGGGGAGACATACCACCATTCCCTGCCACCCTTGTCCCAGCCTTCCTTTTAAATGCATCTAGGAGCTAGCTCTGTTTGTGGATTGTTTTGATATTTTAATCACTATATCTTGTATCTGCCAAGCAATCATGGCACCCAGTAGGTATATCAGTGTTGCTGAAAGTGGCAAGAAAAGGTATAAGTGTTTAAGTCTTTGAGTTAAAAAAAAAAAAAAAAAAAAAAAAGAGATATTAGACAAGAGATAGCCTGTGACTGTAATGAAGTGTTACTGTGGAATTAAAAAGAATGAGGTAAATATATGAGTTTGTGTGATGAATAACTGACTGACTGACTTAAAGTTAGACTTTTTCACGAAGAGAACCCTGAAACGGTGTCTACAGCAGTTGCTGCCTTACCATCAGTAGTATTATGTACTGTGGAGCAAAATTGAACAAAAATCCACTACAGAATGTATGCACACTCCAGTACAACCATCAACTTCAGTACCAGAACCTCTACCATCCACCTCAGCCCAGTAGGGCCACAGCATAATTATCCACTCTCTTCACAATCATGCACAAACACCCGCACCCACAATTTAAGGTAAGAAATACTATTATTTCTGTTGCATTTTAACCCTTAACCCTTTGAGGGTTTTCGTCGTACTAGTACGTCTTACGCGTAGGGGTTTTTGACGTACTAGTACTCATAAATTCTAGCGGCCTCAAATCTAGTGGGAGAAAGCTGGTAGGCCTTCATATGAAAGAATGGGTCTATGTGGTCAGTGTGCACAGTCTAAAAAAAATCCTGCAGCACACAGTGCATAATGAGAAAAAAAAAACTTTGACCATTTTTTTTTAATAAATCAGCGACTTTGCAGTGTATTTTCGTATGGTATTTATTGTTGTATTCTAGTTTTCTTGGTCTCATTTTATAGAATGGAAGACATATTACAGAAATAGAGATGATTTTGACTGGTTTTACAAAGAAAGGTGCCTTGAAATTGAGCTCAAAGTAGCAGAAATGTTCGATTTTTACCAAACTTCAAAAGTAAACAAATCGTGCCAAGCGTGCAATACACGTCAACTGGTGAGTCTAATATTCTTTCACGAGTACACCAATAATATTTATACCATTTTTTACACTAATGCAGTAGTCTGCATAACAGTAAATCTTATATTTTTTGTGAAAATAAAAATTCAAAGTGGAAAGCAAAAGAATATAAGAGGGGCCTTGAGACGTGAATAATGACTAGAGGAAATGTCATTTTAGTGCCAGGAATGTCTTTCTTGTTTATTCTGGACCCTATTCGGAAATTGGCATCTTTTGAAATTTGTGTGAAATTGGCAAATTGCTAAATTCTGACCACTGTACTGGATAGTTGAATTTCATAAATGAGTGGTTTCTTGCACCCATTCGATAGAAAAAATGGATGTTCTAGCGAAATATTCATGTTTTTTGTCGACTAGTACAGTGAAATTGGCCGAAAATGGGGCTCAAAGTGGGCAAAATCGCCGATGCGTAAACATCGCCGAGACCGCTAACTTTGCGAGAGCATAATTCCGTAAGTTTTCAATCAAATTTCAAACTTTTGGTGTCTTTATGACGGGAAAGTTCTCTTCTTTTCATAAGAAAAAATAATTTTTTTTTTTAAATTTGGGGGCCAACCCCGAGAACGATTTCGGGGGGGCCTGTCGCCTCAAAGGGGTTAAACTGCCCAAAAACGAATCATTTTTTTAAATTTTGAAGTATGAAAAAAAAAAGTAGATTTCTTTTATTATTCATTTAAAAATGGAAAAAAAATTTTTTTTAACTACTTTTTTTTTTTTTAAATTTTTGAAAAATGTAAAAAAACGTAGATTCCTTTTAGAGCTTTACGCATGTAAAAACTAAATTGTTTGGAAGTTTAAGGGTTAAGCTAAAAGAACTAAACATCACGACAATGAACTACAATTCTATTCACTTTTTTTTTTTGTAAGATTGGAGGTCAAAAAGATTTTTTTTGGTTTTTTTGGGCTCCCGGAACGTAACCCATTTTTCCCCCCTAAGTTTTTTCAGTTTATCTACATTGTATACCTAACACGGCATTTTCGGGAACATAATACCGTGTAATTAACAGTTACTGTGTAATTTTTAATAAAGCTTCTCCTCCTTAGTGACGAAATTTTTCCCAACAACTCGAGTTACAACAGTCTCCCCAAGCATATTGTATCCCGTACAAGAACTTGGGGTTGTGGAAATGAGCAGCACAGCACTCAGCATAAAGCTCTCAATCCCCTTTCCTACAGCCCTCAGACACTGGTTTCCAGTCCCCAAACTACTATTTGTACAAATTTGTACTTTATTGTGTCCCCAAGTACAAGAATAGTTAAAAGTGCAGCGCACTTGGGAAAGGGGAAAAATGAAGAAGTACAAAGAATTCATGAAAGGGGTTAGCTGGTTTTTTTTTAAATTCTCAGTGTCTCTAGGGCTTTAAAAATGATTAAATCGTGAACAAGGTATGTTGATGGTAAAAATTATTAATTTTATTAAAAAAAAAATTTTAATAATAATAGAATCACTCTGAAGGGGTTTTTAAATGTCCACTCCCAAAACATCGAAATCGGGGAAACCCTTGACTTACGAGTTAATCCTTTTCATGCCCTAGCTCGAAATAAATTTTATTGTTTATCAAATCTATTTCCCATTTAAAATTAGTTGAAAGTCTTTAATCTGTTCCTGCACTCTGGAGACAAAAAAAATACTTGAATAGACACTAATATCACTGTACAGTTTTTTCTTCACACTTAATATAACATAAAAAATAAAATTAACAAAGAAACATATACTACTTAAAATGAATAAAATACCCTAATAAGTGGAAAGGGGTAGCGCAGCGGCAGAAGAGTCCGCCTTTTCCCTGTCAATTTTGGGGACTATAGTATCTTCCCCTCTCTTATTGTAAGAGAAAAAGAGTATTTGTGAGGCAATTTGCAGAAATTTGTATATAAAAAGTAATAAATCATAATTCACTATAGAATGTAAAGAAAATGTTTAAACTGTTTAAATAAAGAGTACACCTACCACCCCCGATTTGACCAAGCTTGGTTTGACCAACCGGGTCGAAAGTCAAAATGGAGTAAGTCAAACCCTTTGAAAATTCCCGACAAAGGGAAGGGCATAATTCAAACTTTTCCTTATTAATTTCCCTAATAGTACTGTAATGTAATGTAATGTACAATCATTTTTCATTTTTTTACCAAAATTTTTATTTTTTGTTTATTTTAATTATTTTTTTTCTGTATATAATGTATACAGGTAGTGAATGTATTGTAAATTTTACATCGCATCATATAAATTGTTATGTTTCTTTATGTATTGTCGACACAGTGGAAGGGGGAGGAATCCCCACTGGTAGTGTCATCCTCCCAGAAATGTGTAAAACCTATACCCAAAGTAAAGAGAAACATCGGGAACATGTGTAATACGTAGCTGGTTGGCTGGCCGGGGGGTGGGTGGAGGCGGGGTGGGGATTGGTGACACGGGTAGACGACACACAGGTAGACAGAAAGACACACCGGTAGAATAAAGACACACACAAGTAGACACACAGGTAGACAAAAGCACACAAGGAGACGTAAACGATAACAGATTATGGCAACAGTACGGGACAGTTTAGTGAAACAGTAAAAAACAAATAGAGAGTTTGAGAGTAAGGCCTTTCTTCCACAGACTCTTCTTAGGGGCCATGGTAAAATTTATGTCCAGTTAGTACATTTAAAACAGTAATGCTGCTGTAGGACGGGTTACTCAAATGATGCTGCCTGCATGCCCTTTTGCCCCCACGATATTGTCAATATTGTACATTGTGCATCAGCCGCCCACCCAGCTCCCAGGCACGGTCGAAAGTCGAGGGGGAGTATGTTGAGCAGGGGGGTAATCGTATGGGGGTGTATATTACTTAACTTTTGGGAGTAGAGTGGTAGGGGTTGGGGGTGGGGGATGTTGGGGGTAGGGATGTTGAGGGTGGGGAGTGTTGAGGGGGGGAGTGTTGAGGTGGGGGAGTTTTGGGGGTGGGATGTGGGGTGGGGGTTGGTGAGGGTGGGGGGGTGGGGTGGGGGGGAAGGGTGGTGAGGGTGGGAGGGGGTTTGGGGGTGGGGTGTTTTGAGGGTTGGGAGTGTGTTGAGGGGGGGAGTGTGTTTGGGGGGTTTTAGGGGGGGAGGTGTTGGGGGTGGGAGTTTTGGGGTGGGGGGTTTTTTGGGGGGGGGGGAGTGAGGGTGGGGGGGTGAGGGGGGGGGGGTTTTGAGGGTGGGGGGTTTGAGGGGGGGGGGGGGGGTTTTTGGGGGGGGGGGTGTTGGGGGGGGGGTTTTGAGGGGGGGGGGTTTGAGGGTAGGGGTGTTGAGGGGGGGGGGTGTTGTGGGTGGGGGGTGTTGTGGGGGGTGGGGGGGGGTTTTGTGGGGGGGGGGGAGGGGGGGTTTGGGTGGGGGGGGGGGGGTTGTGGGTGGGGTGGGGGGGGGGGGGGTGTTGGGGTGGGGGGGGTGTTGTGGGTGGGGAGGTGTTGTGGGTGGGGGGTTTTGTGGGTGGGGGGTTGTGGGGGGGGGGGGTTGTGGGGGTGGGGGGTTGTGGGGGGGGGGGGTTTGGGGGTGGGGGTGTTGTGGGTGGGGGGTGTTGTGGGGGGGGGTGTTGTGGGTGGGGGGGGTTTTGTGGGGGGGGGGGGGTGTTGTGGGGTGGGGGGTTGGGGGGGGGGGGTGTTGTGGGGGGGGTGTTGTGGGGGGTTTGTGGGTGGGGGG